GGGGGGGTGCTTATCTGCATATAAATTGCATACAGTCCACAAATATACGACTATGGAACTGCACTCAGAGCAAACAAACAAGCGACATTTCCACTAATCCTCCTATGGGCTAGAACTGTCAAAAGAGAAGTTGTTTCAAAAACTCATTGTTTACTCCTTTCTGCTTTTTCTGTTTGCTTTTTACTTCACATTTCTGAGCTTTATTAGATATTCAAAACAATACCTTGGTTTCTTCGGCAATCCCTGCCTTGATGAATTTCCACCGGAAGTAAAAAACTCGGTATTTTTGTGATCCTTCTCGTGGATTTTATAGTTGCTTGCACCAAAATATTGTTTTGGATTCTTAGTTTGGATGTGTACTCGAGGTGGTCCACGAGGAACTGATGGTCTCCATGTGCGTTTGAATAATTCTTTTGCACTGCTCTTGAGTGCTTTCTTCTCAGAAGTACGGCTGCTTGGCATTCCTTTCGACACTACTGCGGACTTAAATGGTGTTTTTTCATTTGACGAATTGAGTGGAGGTAGTTCCTCTTCCAGATCTGGTGTAAGCACTTTGTCCAGTGATTCTGTTGACCCTGCGCTAGTTGTCTTCTTTGCTTCCACTATTGTCGGTTTAGCTACCGTATTTGAAGGAGTATCTTCAATAAGAGTTTCTCTCACGCGAGCCAGTTTTGCAAAGGTCGAAACAGGCTTCAAAAACTTCTCGTCCTTTGTTCTACCCTTTTCTTCCACCTTGGGTGAAGAAGTTACCAATAATTCTCCGTCATCGTTCTCTGTTGGTTCGGGGCTGTTTGTGATTAGGTAGGGTTCAAATTTAGAAATCTCATCTGCAAACTCTTCATCAGTGACATTTTCTCCCGACGATTCATCCGCCGCACTCTCACCAGCTCCTTCATGTACATCTGTTTGGCTGTCGCTAATTTTCAGTGTATCCAGGTCAAAAAGAATGTTTTTGAGATGTTTCTTGCGTGATTTGTTCTCAAGTTGGTGTAACGGTCCATGCAGTTGAGAAGGGTGGTTGTAGTTTACGTTCTTCTTTCTTAGTAACACTTCTCTGCAGCCACATTCCTGCAAAGAAAA